CACACACACACACACACACACACACTGCTGTCTTTACTCAGCCGAGGAAGCCAGCTCCTCCTGCTGCCCCTTCTTTCTGAGCTGCTTCCCTCTCCAGCCCCTCGCAGCCCCAGAGCTGGCACTGCAGGGAAAGCTGGGCTGCCAAGACCTTGTTCTCCTGGACCATCGGCCAGGACCTATCTGGTGACCAGGCTGAACATTCATTCATTGCCTGCCTGCCTGCCTTAGGCAGCAAGGTGACAAGGCTCTGGCTCTGACCTGGGTGGTGAAAGAAGTAAGAGGACTCCTCAAATCTCCTCTTTATCGCCTCTTTTAGGGGAAGAAATACTGGGTAACGTGGTAGCGTCCAGGCTCAGTGCTCTTTGTCTTCCTAAAGTAGATCCCTCTGGAGGCAAACAAACATGATTAAGCATCTCTGATACATGAGGCTGGGCATTCCATGAGAACTGTTTCATCATGTCCTATAAAGGGGAGGATCCCATCTTGTAGAAGAAGAAAGGCTGAAGGCCCACCCTGGCATTACCCTCCCAGACACAAGTTCTGAGTTGACCCCAGTCCAGTGCTCCTGTAGGTTCTTCTGTTACTCCCCACAGGCCCTGGGGTGGGGGGCCCTCACCAGGGAAGGTGCAGGAAGTGGGGCTTACCTGAGTGGCCACACCTGCATTTATACAAACCTCTTCTCCAGGATCTCTACGCGCTAGACCTGGAGCCCTACCGCTACTCAGGGGTGAACCTGACGGGCTTCCGCATACTCAATGTGGACAACCCCCATGTCTCGGCCATCGTGGAGAAGTGGTCCATGGAGCGGCTGCAGGCAGCTCCCCGGGCAGAGTCCGGCCTGTTGGACGGAGTGATGATGGTACAGCAGGACCCCGGGTGGGCCAGGCCCAGGGGCTCCCCCTTTCCTTCCTCCTTCTTTCATGCTTCTTCCTTCCTTCCCACCACCTCTTAAGACCTGCAGTGTCTCAGCCAGACCCCAGAAGAGGGGCATGAGACACAAAAGTGAATCACATGCAGCCCCTGAGCCTCAGTTTCCTTTGGAGACAAAAGGCTCAGTAGGGTGTGTGTTGTCTGTAACAAGGGCCCAGTCGGGTACAGTCACATGAACAACTGGTTACAGATAACAGGGGTAAGGACTAGGGATCCTGGGCTCGAGAAACTTTCAGCCAGCACATGCCAGTAGGCAGGAAGTCTGGGGAGGCCGTCCTGGGTGGGGATGGGCGGGGCGAGCTGAACACTTAGGGTTGGAGATGCCCTCAGACAGCTCTTGGCCCTTTCTTCAGACTGATGCGGCCTTACTGTACGACGCTGTACACATCGTGTCCGTGTGCTACCAGCGGGCGCCCCAGATGACAGTGAATTCCCTGCAATGCCACCGGCACAAGGCCTGGCGTTTTGGTGGCCGCTTCATGAACTTCATCAAAGAGGTGAGGCCCGTGATCCGCGCCCAGGTTGGGAGCCAGACTGACTCCTTTTTTGTGAGAACTTGGCAGGCTGCCTCACATTTCCAAACCCCAATATCTTTGTGTAAAAATGAGCTCCGCAGAACCAGTCTTCCAGGTGACTGAATGTTAAGTCCTTGACCCATCTGTCATGAGTGTCCAGTAGGCTGTCAGTTTGGTGAGCAGGCTTCAAAGCACTGCAGCAACCCATAGCAAACTAGAAAGCCTTGCAGAGCCTCCCTGGCGTGGCCTGTAAAGTGGAGCATGAAGCATGGCCTCCACATGGGGGCGCTGTAAAGGGGAAATGAGACAACATGTAAAACACTTCGTGCAGTGTAGAGGCTCAATAAGCAATAATTTGGCCCCATGAAATTGGCCCCATGAACTGATCTTCCCACCACGAGCCCATGGGCCCACTTCCCATGGGACCCCAGCTGGGTCCCTGTTCTCCTCAAGACTCAAGTCCCATCCACAGAACTGATGTCCGAAGAGCCAGGAGCCTGGAACCTGTCCTGCTGCAGAGCCGACCATGCAGCAGTGTCTGCTTTTAATTTCCAAGGCTCCTCCACCTGCCATTGTCCTTGGAATCTTTGCAAGTTAGTGTGTTGGTGCCATTTTACAGAAGGGCGAAGCTCAGCCCTGGGTTTGCATCCTGACTAACCTCTGATCTCCAGTTTGAGATAGTAACAGTGCCTGCCTCGTGGGGCTGTTGGAAAGTTATGTGTAGAGCACCTGGCCTTGGAGCCTGGCCAGAGTCACAAGCCAGAATGCAGCAGATAGAGAAGGCTAGAGAGGATGAGATCCAGGCAAGGTTATGCTGGGCCACAGGGAGTGACCATGTCCAGGACATTAGGGGAAGGCCTCCCAGAGGGCTCTGGATAGATGATATCTCTGTAAGAAGCACAGGCCACCAGAAAGGAAGTGGGCTGCGGTGGGAATTCACTGGGATGCTATGTTCCCAGCACTGAGCACCAAATGCAGCTGAAAGAGATGAGTCCCACATAGAGAGCTCATAGCCCCCGGAGGGAGACAGCACACATGGGGCCAGCCCATTATGAATATACCTAGTGTTCGAAGAAAAGCATCTTGAGGAGCAGACCCAGGTTGGGGTACCCTGGCCCCAGGTCCAATGAATGACCCTCACCACTCACACCCCATAGAGAGTCCCTGCAGAAACTCCCATCTCAGCTCCCCATTAGGACCTTGGAGGCCAAGGATGGAGCAGTCCGGGGGCTCTCCCATGATCCCACAGCTGACCACCACCAGAAGCCAGGTGCCCCACAGGAGCCCAGCACACATTCTTCCCTGGGTTCATTTCCAACTTGCCTGTCTCCCCATCTGACTGCGTGACAGTAAATCATTTTAAAGACTTGGCATTTCCGAGAGGAGCTGGAAAATACCAGGCCGGAGTTCAGAGCGTGCAAAGCATCTTTCATTTAGTGAGTCCTGCGCTATGGCTGGAGGGGGCGGGTGGGCTGGGAAATGTCAAGGGGAGGAGCTGCTCCCTGCCCTGCTCTGCTCGCCCTCCCACGGGTTGGCCACACCTGCTGGCATTTCCTGCTTCCATAGCTGACAAGGAGAGGCTTCCACTGCGTGGTTTGAAGGCTCCTGCTGTGATTTCCCCTGGGGGCCAGAGGATAGCCACAGGCTGTGGGTCCGCATGGGAGAGGGATTGAGAGGGACTGAGAGCCAGCCTGAGGGAAGCTGAGCCTCCCTGTGAAGTCATAAACGGAGGTTTTCACATTCAGTGCTGCAGCTTTTAATTTCTGCCCGCTGGTTCCCAGCTCCCTGGGCTCCCTGAGCTCTCCCTGCTACTCTCTGGGTTCCCCAACCCCACTCACCAGCTCCACTACTACAGTGAGAGACTACCATACCCCAGTGGAACTTGGGATCTGCATAGCTCAGTCCCTCCTTGAGCGACACCATCCCTCTCTGTGAAAGGGGCAATGGTGAGGCCCTGCTGGCAAGACCACAATGCAAACTCAGGCTCTTGCAGGGAAGGATAATAAACAGCCCTCTGTGATCCGCTTCCAGCCCAGTGGCTGCTCCTCTTCCCTAGGCAGGGGCCAGCCCTCGTCCTAGGAACTCCATGTGTAGACTCAACAAAGGAGAAATGATAAACCACACCACTTAGCCATGATTGTATATGCAGACATCGTGCTGAGCTCTGTACAAACCTAGTTAAATACCTGTGAGGTGGGTAACGAGTCCCTGCACCTCAGAATGCTGAGATCACCTCAGTAATGCCTGCATTCTAACCCCTGCTGCTTTGCAGTTTCCCCAGCCCCCTGGAGCTCTGTCCCTCTGCCTTCCTAAGAGACCTAGTTGTCCAGAGACCAAATTAATAACCTGAGAGACTTTACAGTGCGCCAGAGTTGCCCTTGTGCATAAAGACACCCAAGTGTTCAGCTGGGATCCTATGAAGCCTAGAACTCGTGCATGTGCCCAAGGGCGCTTACCTGTAGAGGGGGCGGCTGGAGCCTCTCAGAGCTGCAGGGAGTCTGGCCTGAGGGAATAGGACCCAGTGTCCAGTGCCAGGGCTCAGCCAGCTTCCGAGCCCTCAGATGTTCTCCCCACACCTCTTCTCTGGACACCTCCTCTTCCTCCTGGACTGTGAGGCCCCAAGTTCTCGACCCTCCTCTTCCTCCACAGCCCATCTTTTCCCCCCAGAACTCTAAGACACATGAGGTTTGCTCTCTCAGACACAAAAGTATGGGTATTTAGCTGCCTACCAGCTGCCACCCTATGTCTAAGGATGAGGGAGAGAGGGAACAGGTGCCAACTAAGGGGGTGGCCCTGAGCCTGAAGTTCCAGTTTGCTCTGCCTCCTGTGTACTGGGTGGGCTCCAGTGGCTCCTGGCTCCCGCTCCCTGGGGCTGCCTTCCAGTGTATACAATGGGAATCACCATCCTCACCTGGCACATTCCAGGGGTGCTGGGCAGGTCACATGACAAGAATAGTGACCATACCTGAGGAACTAATGCTCTGGATCCCTAGGAAAGACAGCATGTGAACAAGACTTTCTTCCTAAAGAGCAGATAGAAAAGAATTTGGCTGTTGCAGGCCAGGAGGTCTCTGTCTTGAGGATTCCTTTCTGCAGCTGCAATGCAAAAGCAACCCAAAGCGTGTGGGCACCACTGGGTGATAATTGCCTATTTATAAAACCTCACAGTGCCAGTCATGCCACCCTGACCAAGAAGACGGGCACTTTCCTTGGTTTGGTGTGCCCAAATGCCATCTGCTTCTTTCTGTATTCACGATGCTATTGACAATTTTAAAAAGACAGAAGTGACCATGTATGCAGGATTGTGCATGCCAAGCCAAGCACTGTTCTCAGTCTTCTATGGGACTGATTTCACCCTCACAATATTGTGACAAGATGAGTACTAATAATAGTACTTATGGCTAAAGAAACTGAGGCAGAGAGGTGAAAATGGAATATCCGAGGTCTCACAGCTAATTGTGGTTGAATCTAACACTGTCCTTAGAATTCTAAACCAGGATAGGCATGGACTTAGGGCTGGGGGTGGCAGTCCTTGATCTCCCCTGCCCCTCTGAGGGCTGTGTTGTGATAGGTTCTCAGAGCAGCAGAGAAACAGGCAGAAGGAAAAAGGGAAAGGGCTTTACTTTCATTGAGGACACAGGGAGAATTCGGGGAGGTCAAGGAATTCTCTGGACTGGACAAAGGAAGGCTGAGGCTGTTATGGCCTTTTGCCAGGGGTGGGGTTTGAAGGGTCTGTGTTTACATATATCTGAGGGAGGGGACTGGGAGTCTTCCCTGAGGCGGCGGGAAGGGTGAAAGTAAATTATGTCCTGGGCTAAGTTGGAGAAGAAGGGGTAGGTGGTCCTGGGAGCATAGGCCTTTGTTCTAGGGGCACTGGCCATGGTAGGTGACCACCCAATGACTGTAGCAATTCACCCTAGGGCCTGAACCTAGCTCCCCAGCTATCTGGTTTTATAGCCAGAGCCAGCTGGTCCCTCTGGCTTCTCAGCCTACTGGCGGTCTGCCTGCCCCAGCTCTGCCGGCCTGCCTCCCTGCCCCGCCCCAGGGATCTGACAGGGGCTCCCCCTTCCCACGGCTCCAAGGTGGGGGCCCATTTGAGCGCATCCAAGATCGATGTTGTACACGAGAAGGTGCGATGCAAAGCTGGCTAAAGAGCATAATAGAATTTATGGAAATCGCTGGCTCGCACCGCAGCCCGAGCAATGATGGAGGTGATTATTAATTAATCATGGTCTTGGGGGAACAGTATCAGTGCAAGGAGTAATTAAAATGAAGCATTGTACGGTTGTACCGAATGATGATTTATGAGCCTGAGGATTTGCCGCTCTGCCCTCTCCCCTCCGCAGGCTCAGTGGGAAGGATTAACTGGACGGATTGTTTTCAACAAAACCAGTGGTTTGAGGACGGATTTTGATCTGGACATCATCAGCCTGAAGGAGGATGGCCTGGAGAAGGTGCGTTGTCCCAGGCAAGGAAGTCGGTCAGTGGGACAGGCCCGGCTGGCAAGCTGCAGGCAGAGGCCAGAGGCAGAGAGCAAGACCCAGCGTCGCGGCCCCTGGAGGCTCGGCGCGCCCAGGGTGGCTTCCGCAGATCGGTGGGCCCCGCAGAACCCCTGAAGCTGTGGTCAGACTGAGGGCTACAGAGCTCAGTGGCCTGGTTACAGCAGATACTCTGTCACTCTGTGAGTAATGTCTATCAGGGATGCTTCACCTGGGAAATATAATAAAAGGCTCACAGGGCACATCGATCATCTGTCTCTAAGTGGCTGCAGGCCTGGGAGGGTCCCGCAGAGGCAGATATAGCCTGTCCTCAGGTAAGAAGCTTTCTAACCCACAAGGGACACCTGCCCAGTGAGTAGTGGAACTCGCTGGCTGTCGGTTGATTTTCTGGGAGCCTGGAGGTGATTCTTATGCTTGTAGGTTGAGACACGTGGTCTGAGCTCCTCCACTCCAGTTCTTAGGCTTCTGCTTCCCAAGAGTTTAGACAGGGAAAGGGAGCCCACCTGGAGCTGGGGTTGCCCAGGTAGCTAATGTGAGAAGGTTTTAATAAAGGCAGTTCTGATCTCTGGAATCTTCAGCGTGTTCTGTCAGTCAGCTTGCTGGGCTGAGGAGGGGGATTTAGTGTGAACCCCAGCATCGGCGGAGCATTCCTTGGAACCCAGGGACCAGGGACTCAGCCACACCTGTCCCACAACAGGCTGGTCCTTGGGAGCTACTTTATGTTTCTCCAATCCTGACTGAAGACGTGTATGAAATATCAGAAACAGAGGTCGGGAAGATCCGGAAAGCCCCTCTAATGTCACTGGTCCTTTAAGGAATCTCCTCTCCTCCCCTCCCTACATTCCCTGAGTTGACTTCTCATGTAGATTATTCTTTTTTCCCATACTTTTATTGAGAAACAAATAGCAATGAGACAGTTTCAAACCAAATTAGTAAGACAGTTTCAATAATTAACACATTGCATACATTCTTCCTAGTGGTTAATTGCTGTACAAGATGCGGACATGATATCCTATCTACAAACACCATTAGAACAAATCCCTCTATTCATTAAGAGAATGTAACTATATATCTATCCTAACCACTTTGAATACACAGATACAAAATGGACATTCATATGTATCCCCTTTTTTGTTTAGTTCCGTTATTTGAATCTTTTTTTTTTGAACTTTCTGCAAAGCTTTATTCCGGAGGGGCTCAGTCCTTCTTGGCAGCTGCCTTCCTCATGGCGGCCAGCACGTTGCTCAGCTCCTCACGCTTCCTCTTGGCGCGGATGTGCGTCCCCACTCTTTTCTTGATGAACTTGAGGGCGCACTTGTCCTTGGAGACCTTGAGCAGCTCCATGGCGCGCCGCTCATAGGGGGCGAAGCCGCACACTTCCCGGATCATGTCCCGCACGAACTTGGTGTGTTTGGTGAGACGTCCGCGGCGGCGGCGGCTGTGCTTCAGTTTGCTCACATTCTTAGTCACCTTGTGGCCCTTGTTGAGGCCCACGGCCATGGGATAGCGGAGGGCCATGGCTACTCTTTTTCAATGGTTGCTGTGGCGGAAGGACCCGAGCCGGGCCGTTATTTGAATCTTATAGGTGTGTTAACTCAGCAAAATATTCTAAGAGTCCAGTAGTCCATAATAGTATTGGGTCTTCCGCTTCTCATGTGGATTATTTTAACTCATATTCTTAATTTCCCATCTCACTCTGGAACTCTCCAGGCATCTGAAATGTACACACATGGAGCTTCTCTAAGTTCAGATCTGTCCTGCTCCAGAACTTTCCATGGCTCCCCAGTGCTAAGTCACTAACCCTCAGCCCCTCACTCAGGCCTTCAAGGCTCCTTTAGACATACCCTGCCTGGTCTCCCAGACCTATTGTCCATTGATCCCTGAAACATACCCCATAGTCCCCTCACTCCTGGCCTCCCACACCTCTGTGCCCATGTCCAGATCATTGCCTGGGCTGCAGGCCATGACCTCTGTTCCTCAGGCAGAGGAACAGTTCCTTGGTTCTGCATGGCTTACAGTAATAACCATACTGCAGCTTCCCAACTCACAGGGGTAAATGTGTAGGGTAGAGAGTATCCAGGGAAATCTGTCATTCATTCTCCCACAACTATTTTATACCACATCTCGAATCAGTTCTCTGAGGCAGGGGCTATATCCTGAGATCATCCAGGCAGATTGATCCAACCCCATGCAAACCGAGTTCTTTTCAAGCCATCTTCCACGTTGTTTCCACCCTGCAGTGGTGAGAGCAGCCTTTCTTCCTGGCAGTACTACAGTGGGTACAGCCTTCACTCAAGTAGCTGTTTTATTCTCACTGCCAGCTACTCTTCTCTAGGGAGAGCCTACAATTCTAGGAAGGCAGTTAGATGGCACATGTGCCATCACTTTCCATTCCTGTGCCTGTGGCAGGCATCAGTAATTGATCGCCAGAGCACACTTTCCATCTGAGTCCACCTGTGGCATTCTCCCTACAACCCTCCAGGCAGCTAGTACAAATTGACCATAGCTAACACTAAAAAAAAAACCCCTCTATTATCCCTAGATGTAGTTTGGCCTACAGGGAGCCCCGCAGAGGCTCCTGGTCACAGCCACCTAGACTGTGAGCAGAAAGCCTCCTTTGTCCGAACTGCTCTCTCATCTCTGTAGCACCCGGCTTCTAGCAGGGTGTGTGGCTGGAGCTCAGCAGAGGTCTGTCCTATCTTCTGGTTGACTCAGCCTCTGATTAATGTTTGCTGAGTCCCTCCTGCACCTAGCACGCTGCTCCACACCCTCGCACTGAGCTTGACCCACTTAGGAGAAGAGTCTCTTTGATGCTGACTGCCTGTCTGCTCTCTTCACGGCCTTCATGGTCTCCTAGGCAGAGATCCGGCCCCGAGAAGGTGCCAAGCCCCAACCACAGCCACCGTGCCTCTCATGTCATCACTTGTGTTTGCTAAGCGGGGTCATAGCTGATCCAGGCAGCTCCAGCCTGTGGCTTTGGGAGGATTAAGGCAGAATTACTCGAGCATAATTACATCTCTCTCTGCTATCGGCTTTGCACAGCTCTCTGAATGGGATGTTTGCATTCGGCCTTTTTGTGTAATTGATTGAGTTTCCTGAGTACCCCCGACTGGGCCAAGGACAGAGTGCGCATGCTGGAGCCATTCTCCAGAGAGAGCAGCTTGGACAGAGCAGCCTGGGTGGCACTGGGTCAAAAAGAGACCTTCAAAAGACTCAGGGTTGGAGGATGGCTTAAAATGTGATTGTTCTTTCCCTCCCTCCTGCCTCAGGCCTTATATCAATGACACGGTGGGGAGAGCTTTTGCTACCTTGGCCAAGATGTCTGCCAATTTCAGAAGTAAAATCACAAAGCAAATTGCCGTCAGCCCAGTGGCACCCAGAGCCTCCCATGGAGTTCACCCCACCTTGTACTACTGGCCCTCGAATAGCCTCAGAATGCACCCACATATACATGCAAGCCACTCCAACCTGCCAGCCTGTGCACACGTAGCTCCTCCTCCTCTCGGTCTACACACTCTGAGGAGTATCACCCTGAGTCCAGGCCATCCTAGGATTTGCAAGGCATCTGGTTCCTGGAGCCAACACTGAGGCCGAGATCCAAAGGGCAAGCATCTGGGTGTCGGACATCCTCACAAGAGATGTCCCCAGACAGGGGACCCCTGATTGCCCCAACCCATGCTAGGTGTCTTCTCTGCCCCTGGCTGCTTTCCTGGCTCCCTTGAGCTGCTGCCGCACTTTCTGTCTGACTCTGCATTTTCATTCAGCTGGGAAGCAGCCCAGTCCTGCTTGGTAGAATCTGACCTGAGACCCTTTGAGTGTAACTCTGACCTTCATCAGCTTCTCTTTATAATACAGCAAATAAATCTGTAAGGACCGTGCACTGAGGTTGTTCATCTACACACAAAGGAGCGCAGCCTATCTGCCAGCAAGAGGAGGAGTTGATAAATTCAGCATAGTCAATGCTGACTGACTGGGGAGGTTATGGGGGAGCGGCAAGACTCTCTGCCATCAGAGTGGTTAGCTCAAGACATACAGGCATTCTGACACGACACAGTGACTGGGAGGGAGATGGTCTTGTTCCCTTGGGGAAAGGACGGGGAGGACTCAACACCCCATCTTCTGTCTGTCCACACAGGTTGGCGTGTGGAGTCCTGCTGATGGACTCAACATCACAGAGGTCGCCAAAGGCCGGGGCCCTAACGTCACTGACTCTCTAACAAACAGGTCTCTCATCATCACCACAGTGCTGGTAAGTCCCCCACCCCCGCGGGCGGGCCGTCTGACTAAGAGTAGACAAACTACTGGGGCTGGAGAGGCTCCTCCAACCTCCCCATTTGACCACATTCTGGGCATTTCTTATGAGGCTGCTGGGAGCCTGAAAGCGGTCACATGGGGCTGTAGGAAAGTGGAAAATATAAGGTCACTCAGAAAAGCCTTAGCGACCAACTCAGGCCATAATGGAGGGCAAAGGCAGGGGGTCAAACTGCCCACTGAAGCAGGACTCACGGCCACCTCTCCACCTTGGATCCCAGGCAAAGCCCCCTCCCTCTGTCCCTCCAGCTGTGATAGGTGCTACAGCCACACCCAGAGAGCCTGGTGGGTGCCAGGAGCCTACGTATGTGCCATGCTCTGCGGCATCCATCCCAAGAATGCTACCATGACCTCACTGCCTAAATGGAATCGCATTCCAACTTCTCCCCACACCTTCCTCTCTCCTTTACTCTTTCTGTCCTCCTTCAGAAGGACTGAGCAGCATTTTTCTCTCCTGATACATTTTGACACATGAAGTAGCTTTTGGGGTCCCCATGTTCTCTCAGATCTGACAGCCCAAGTTTGAGCAAGATAGGCCCAGGCCACTGGATCCTTTTACTGGTGGGTCTTATGCCCAGTCCAAGAGGCCAGGGCCTCCTAGAAGGCCACAGGGACATGTAAAGGCTTGGGAGAGGCCTCAGAGACACAGGACTGCTCTTGGGGGGCCCAAACCAGGCCAACTTGGGGATGCAGCTCAGTCACTGGGTGGTAGAATCTGACTCAAGACCTGTTGAGCATAATTCGGACCTTCATCAGCTTCTCTTTATAATGTAGCAAATAAATCTGTCAGGGCCATGCGCTAAGGTTGTTCATCTGCACAGAAAGGAGCTTGGCCTATTTGGGTTTAGGTGAGGCTGCCATGTAATGAGGCTGGGACACAGGCCGAGCGGCTCTTCCCTGGTGTGTGGATGTTGGTGTCTGCCATCTATTTCCCCAGCAGAGGCAACTCATTCAGCCTCCTTGGGCAGTCCCATGTCCCCCCACAGTGTGACTCATTGTGTGGTACGAATTGTCTGGGTGGTGGGCACCCTGGACAGGTAAGGAATCAACAGGAAAACATCCGGTTCTTCCATAATTCTCAAGAGCCAGCAGATAACAGAGCTTTCCTGGCTGTTTGGGAAGGAGTTAGTCTGTGGGTATCAGCTCTCAGGAAACACCCCCCGGAAGGTAACAGATCTAATGGAGATGACAGACAGGATATGAAGCAGTCAGAGGAAAGGAGCTGGGAGACACCCCCTCTGGGGAACACTCCCACAGGGATCTCCCTGACAGTCACATGTCCTCCCCAACTTTCTGGACCCACTTTTTTTTGGGGGGGAGAGGAGGGAAGGGCCTACAGGGTGTTCAGGTCTCACTACTAGATCAGACTCTTAGTGATTTGCCTGTTTACAGCCTCCCAAGAACTGGGATTACAGGTGTGCGCCACCACGCCCAGTCTCAATCACAGTCTCAGCACGCTCCCTGGGGGCAGGGCCCAGGGATTGAAACTCTGGCCCCTGAGCCTGCTTGCAGGCACTTTAATCCACTGAGCTATTTTGCCAAACCCACTTTTTTGTTAACTGGACAAATATGAAAAAACAAGCTACTGGGGAAAAAAAATCATGAAGTCAGAACAGAAGACAAACTGTAATGTAAAAATATAAGAGATAAAAATAAACAAATAAAAAAGAGCAAAGGGATTAGAGTGACACTGATGAGCAATTAAAGGAATATGGATGCAGATAAAAATAGAAAAGATAAAGGGAGAGTTAAAGGAGAGCAAAATAGAAAGGTTAAGAGGAAAATAATGAAGAGAAATGAAGGTAAGGAATGAGATAGCAGGAAAGATATTAAGAAAGACGAAAAATTAAATAATTTACAGCTCTGCCTAGGCAAGGTAAAAAATGTTAAACCAAAATGTCAAAAAGCAAAAGGATAAAAGTGTGACAAAGCTAAAATATAAAAGGGTAAAAATAAAATAATAAAAAGGTGGTAAAAGATTAAAAAGCAAAGCTGCATAAAATGTGAGATATAAATAAAACACTTTTTGCAAGGCAAGATTAAAAAGAAAGGTAAAGCTGGTGTGATTTAAGAGATTAGGAGGAGAGATGATTAAATGAATGAAGGTGATTCAGCCCCAGAACAGGCCTCCAAACAGGAAGAGGTAAGCTAAGGATACAGTCCCGGAAGGACACCAAGCACGGCCAACTTGGAAGACAACGGGATTCAATGATATTCCAATGGCAGCCGCCCGATTTCAAGGATGTGGAAACCTTCTGCAGGGGCACAAGAGGTTTTCTAGACCCTTCTGTGGATGCATAGGGGCTTTTCCTACACAAGCAGAGGCCGAGCCTTCAGGCACTCACACTCTTGGCCTGCGTCTTCATCAGCACTCGCAGCTTCTGCAAAGGCCCTGGCCCGCTGCACCCACAGTCCCCGAGGCCCCACCCACAGTGTCCAGGGAAGTGACAGGGAAGAAGCGAGGACCTCCTCGGTCCACTGCCTGAACGCAGAGTCAGACATTTCACTGCCCTCCACTCAAGGCATCAGAGAAGACATAACCCCAGCGGCCTTGGGGACCTGTAGTCTAACCAGGGCTGGGCTGGGCTGGGCTGGGCAGTGGAATATCACTGGCCCAGAAGCGCGGAGCTGTCCGGTGAATCCTGGCTACACTGTTGATTTACTACGTGCCCCAGAGATGTGCTTCTCTGTATGTTTGTGCCTCTGTCTCCCATCTGAAAAATGAAGATATGAGAATAATTGTACCTACTTCATAGAGTTGAAAGATGAATGATTAATAAAAATAAAGAGCACAGAGCCAAGTGCTAAATGATAGCTGTTATTGTCATTCACTGCTATTGATTACAAATCCAGACACTGGTGAGCTCAGGTTGAATACAACACGTGGATGAGAGTTGTAGAGAAAACCTATGCTTCTGTCCACAGGCAGAGCCCCAAGGGCTGACCATGGTCGCAATGATCATCCGTAGCTCAAGGTCATTATGTTATAAACTCTGAACAGATCCCCCCCTTTGTGTTAATGTAGTTGCCTTTTAGTAGTATGAAGGAATAAACCCAAGGGTGCTTTACCAGTAAGGTACACTCTCAATCTTCTTACTTTTTGAGATAGGGTTTCCTAAGCCAGATTCCAACTTGCCATCCTGCTTCAGCCTCCTGAGCATCTGGGATTATAGGCAAGGACCACTGATCCCACCTTGTCTGCTTCTTTTAGCTTTATTTTTTTTTAACTAACCCCTGAGTTACCTCCAGAGCACCTCCATAGCTCTACCTCCCAGTAGTCATAAAACTCCAGATTGTCTACCACCTCATCCCTCCCTTAGCCAGAGTCTGAGCTCTAGGCCCTGAGATCACATTAATTCCCTAGCCCTGGCCCTGTCTTGACCTCTGACCTGACTCACTTAAAGTTGATTTCTCATGGCCAATGGGCAACACCAACTACAGTCCTCCTCTCTCCATCCTCACTGCCCAGAGACCAATGGAAGATCACTTCTGTTCCTCCCTTTGGGATAGTGAGAAAAGCTGCTCTTCTCCAGAGGCAGGGAAGTGCAACGGATGACCTCAGGAGGAAGTGACACACTGCCTCTACACAGGTCTCCAAGGCATTCCTCTCTGTTCAGCTGAAAGTGTCCTCAGAGCCTCGTCAGAGAAAGGTTAAGTCCCGGGTGCTCAGGGAAGGAACCAAAATGATCAGCACGGTCTGACCCCTAAGGGATGCCCTCAGGCTCTTGGGGACAGCTGCACAGGCTGAAGGGAGTAGCCCAGCCTGGCCCAGGACTCGCTGCTTGGACTGAAAACCCAACCATATGTTTGACAGCTTAACTGCAGGGAAACACCTCCTACTGTGAGCTCAGGCCCCTGCCTGGCTGGGTGTGTGTTGTCAGGGCAACAGTATTTTGAGTGACAGACAGGTACCAAGACACAGGACAAGAATATCAAATTGTTTTGCCCCTAGGGAATGGGGCCTGGAGTCAAGACCCCTGGTAAAAGGAATTTCCTCTCCTTTTTCTTCTCCACAGGATCTGAATGCAGCAGATAGCAGCAGCTCTGTGAAGGCTGCCCCCTGAGCTCCCTTCCTTTTCTCTCCTGTCCTGAACCTGGGCTAGTGTTTAAGAATGACTTACTCTGGATGGACAGAGCATAGAAGCCAACCCGGCCCCGAACACTGAGAGCGCAGGCGCCTACCACACTCCTGAGTGGGAGCTGCAGCAGGAGCTTGGGAGCCTGCCCTGCCTGCCCTCCCCGCCCGCCCCAGCCTCTGTTCTGGTTCTGCTCTTCCATGCACTCATAAAAAATTCATCTACTCAAAAACCTCAGCTCACACACCACGGAGAAAGCTCACCCGACTCACTCTCGGGACCCTGCTTTTGAAGGTTCAGGGCTCTTTGGCTGCTGCTAGGAATAGCATGGGGGTGGGGAGGGGGTTAGTTCACCACACATGCATGGTGTGGACAGTGTGTTCCTGCTGAGTGCATATTGTGACCCACATAGACACAGCTGCTATGCAGGCTGGGCCCTTGACTCCCGTCTAGGACCCCAGTACTGTCTTGTTCTAAGCTACAGAAGCCAAGGCTTGATTCTGGGCCTCTTGGCCTGTGTGTCCCAACAGGGCCGGGCAGGCAGAACATCTGAGCAAGTGGGCTTTGTGCCAGTGGCATTGTGTACACATGGGCAGCACGTGTGGATGTGAGTAAATGTTGCCTCGATCAGTGAGGAGCTTGAAAATACAGCTGTGAGGTAGGGAACCGCTGAGTCCTCCCCACCAGTGGCTAATCCCCAGGCTGCCCTTCCTAAGTCTGCAGTCCTGTCACTGAGAAGCTTAGCTAGGCCTGGCTTTCACGCTGGCCTAAGCGATCGTATAAAAACCAGACCGAGAGGAAAGTCAGAAGAGATTCTTTCTCTGGACCCCTGTTTTCTGTGACTTGTTGAAGAGAAATATTACCCCTGGTCCTACGGCTGTTCTCCCAGAGCAATAGGAGAGCGTGAAGTTATGAAATTGAGGGCACCTTCACTGAGCAATCGATTAGCAGCCAAGAGAGCTTGTGAATTGGCTGTCTGGACATTTCCAGTAATAAATTGTGAAATAGTCCATGAATAAGTAGTTGGCGGAGTTCAGAATTACCCCCTAGGAAATGTTGCAGGTCTAGAGACACATTACTAAGGCGAGCACCATTTTAATGCTCTGGGCTTTGGCTGTTAAATATGTATGCCATCCGCAAAGCACTTCCCGAAATTAATGGCATTTTACAGCTGCTCCGAAGGCAGCGTATTTATATGGAGATGTATAGATTCTGGGCTGTGGTGGCTCCACAAATGAAGTGCTAATTTTAGAGAAGGCCAGAAAGGGGTAGAGAGAAGGGGTCAGGAAGTGAGCTACCTTAGGGACCTTTCCAAAATAGTTTCCCAGAGGCAGCCAGATTTTGATATTTAGGGACATAGGGTATGGTCTCTAGGCTGAAAAGGTCGCTGGAGTAACGGGCTAACCAGCACATAGGAAGAAGATGACAATGATGTTGATAATGATGATAACAGTGATGACAGCTAGCATTTACCAGGGACTAGGTGTTTTTCATAGGCTGACTCATTTTGTCCTTACAGTAACTATTTAGAGTGGGTTCTATTATTACCCCCATCTTACATAACAAGGTAGGAATCTATGTGTGGTTGGAGGTACCTCCAATTCTTCCCCTCCGCTAAATAAAGTTAGGGCTACCAAGTACCAAGTATTAGGACTTGTTTACTGCACAAGGGCATTGTATCAGCCACTTTCCCATGTCTAGAACAAAATATCCAGCAACTCTACAACTTAGAGGGAGGGTTACTGTGGCTCACAACTGCAGAGGGTTTGGTCTGTGGTTAGCTGGCTCCAACTCATGGCAGAAGGGCATGGCAGGGGAAATCCACTCAACCCATGGCAGCAAAGAACCAAAGAAAGAAAAAAGGGGACAAGATATATCTTTTCAGGTCACACCCCCCCCATGACTCACCTCCTCTAACCATGCATAACACATCCAGCTATGAAGTCTACAGTGTATTAATCCACCAATGGGAATGGTACCCCCACAATCCAAAGACTCCACCCTGAATACATAAGTCTTTTGAGGACTTTTTTTTTTATTTTATGGCAGGGTCTATAGGGTGTTCAAGGTCTCACTACTAGATTGGACTCAAAATGATCCATCTGTTTACAGCCTCCCATGAGCTGGGATTCAGGGATGTGCCACCACACCTAGTCTCAATTGCCCTCTCAGCATGCCCTGAGGGCAGGGCCCATGCAGCAGGCCTGGGATCGAACCCCCAGCCCTCAGGCACTTTAATCCACTGAGCTATTTGGCTGGCCCTACATTTTATATCTAAACTATAATGGGCATCAATCAAAAGGATATTTAGATTGAAATCCCACCCAAGCTCTGCACAACAGGCCCTATGCCAGGAAGTGGGGCAGCATCTTCCCCCAGATTAGTTGGCACGAAGGAGTACATAGACTGAAGGGAGATTCCTTTTGTGGAGGTAGCCTTGACACCTCCTTCTGGATCCCACCCCACCCCCACTCCCAGATCTTCTCAACCCTGGTGAACTGCCTACCTGGTTGGAAGGTGGGATGAGAGGCAGTGAGCTTTAGTATGGAGGCCAGCCAAATACTGCTTCCCACACATTTGGACTAAAGAGTAGTTTTCTCAGAATCCCTACAGAGTTGGGAACCCCTTAGGGATTCAAATACTCCCTAAAAATCCCCAAGGACTCCCTGAGGAAATCAGTCATGGAGAGGATAGGATTTTGGAAGACAGCATTGTAGGGACCCAGGCCAAAATACTGAGCCCACCTGCTACAGCCAGAACCTTGCTGGTGGCTGCTGGTAGGTCTCAGCTCCTTAGAACTTCAGTGAAGATCTTCAGTGGGGACAAGAGAATAGGTTCTCCAGAGGAGGAAGCAGAGATCTCCCCAGAGCTAAGGCTGTGCTCTATCATCAGCAAGTGGCCACTGGCTTCCTAGGACACAGGCTCTCCATCAGCTATAGGCTATCACCCATCAGCTGAAAGCTGGAGGCATTCTGTGAAGGTGCCAAGGTGGGCTTGGGGTCAGTTAGTGAACAGAAGGGAGCAGAGAAGCTCCAGGCATGAACAGGGTGAAGGGCTGAAGAAGGAGGCCAGATGAGTCAGATAGAGCTAGAGTGGTCCAGATGCCGCTCTCAACCTGAATTTGAGATCTAGAAGAGCAGATGTAGTCTTCAGATGTAGGGAGGTCTGATCTCAGGGGAAGAACGGAAAACAACCCCAGGCAAGGATGCTGACCATATAGGAAGGATTGAACTGGATCCCATCAAATTGTATTCAGTTCATGTGTGACATTCCCTGAACTACAGTTTCTTCCTTGATCTAGTAGGGATAATGTCACCTACCTTTTAAGCTCATGAGACTGAAACAGTCAAGAGTTTAAATTGGGGGCCGGGGAGATAGCTCAGTAGAATAAGTGCTTGCCTGGCAAGTGCAAGGGCCTTGCAAGGTCCTGAGTTCAATCCCCAGCACCAAACAAAAAAAAAAAAAAAAAAGTTGATCCCTCGTACATAGTGAAAACTTAAAAACTGTTTCTGCGAATTCAATGAACCACCTCTGGTCTTAGTGTGGGATTCATAAGTGGTTCTGGGCAGGTGAAGCTGGCCAGAACATGCCCTTCCAGATTGACCTGGATTCTGGAACCATGCTATGGGCCTGGATCATGCCAGTCCCTCACTCTGTGTCCCAACCTGGACAAGCTGGTTCTTTCCACTGGCTTCTGTGCCTCTCCTCCCAATTGATCTTTATAAGGCATTGTTTGTGAATCAGGAGTCAGGCAGAGCCACTCCCTACTCCAAGCCCTTCTCAGGCTTTCCTTCAGTGGTACAAGGTGAACCCCAAAGCAGGAAAATCTGGTGCAAGATAGATGTCCCTGGCCCAACCAGCCACTTCTTAAGGATCACCTATCCCTAGAACTTAGGGTCCCTGGCACAGAAGTTACACCTTGGGGCCAAGGGCCTCCCAATTCAGAGGCCTCTCAGTGACTGCTAGGGAAGCTGATGCAAGTCACTTATCCTCCTGAACTTCACTTCTTGTATCCATCAAATGAGATTATTAGCACCTACCCTGAGGGGTTGACATTAACGTTACACAAGGCAGCACCAGTTTCTTGCCCTCTGCTGGGCTCTGTTCAGAGCCCTCTGCAGGCAGGAGCTCATTTACTAATTTCCCAGGCCTGGCACAGCCACATACAAATGAAGCTGCTATCAGTTATCACTCGCCTGGCAGATCCTAATGTGAGAGCAGAGGGGATCCTTGGAAACAATTGCATCAGGAGTGTGTAGATCTAATCAGCTAGCTGGGAGTTGAAGGAAAAGCTGGGATGACACTTGATGAAGAGCTCTCCACAGCCATGTCCTCCAGCTGACCTGAGGCCAACCCTCTCTGGAGGGCTGGAAAACACAAGGTGCTAAGCCCCACCTAGATTTCTGGTAGAGTAGGTCCAGAAGGGAGCCCAGGGACATACATTTCTAACAAGTTGTAGGAGATATGGATGCTGCGGAACAAAGAACCATACTCAGAATCCTGGGAGAAGCTGGGCTATGGAATCCAGTCTCCAGTTCAAATCCCTGTTTTACCTCTTAGCAGTTCTGTGATGCTGGGCAATTAAATCAATGGAACTCTTACCTTGAACCAGGGACTGTCAGTAGGTTGCAATTTCAGGGCCCCAAATTGCCTCTCAAAAGGTGTGAGTTTTTTTATCCCAATTCCCTTAGACCTTTCATCCAAGTCACTCCAATTTTTTTAAACAACAAGAGCAGAGATTCCAGCCCAAGTTCTCCAACCTGTGCCTGCTCCCACCACTCCCTCAGCCTTTGTCTTCTGCTCTTCCATTGGTCTCTGCAGGAGGAGCCCTTTGTCATGTTCCGGAAGTCTGACCGGACCTTGTATGGGAATGACCGGTTCGAGGGCTACTGCATAGACCTGCTCAAGGAGCTGGCGCACATCCTGGGCTTCTCCTATGAGATCCGGCTGGTGGAGGACGGCAAGTATGGGGCGCAGGACGACAAGGGCCAGTGGAACGGCATGGTCAAGGAGCTCATTGATCACGTAAGCAGGGAGGGGAGCAGCAGGGGTGGAGGACGAGGGCCCCAGGGCTTGGTAAGGGGCTCTTTGCACATCAGGGGAGGGAGCCCAGAAGACAGGGCCGTGAAAAGAAGATGGGGAGAAGCTGCAGGCTAGGGGCACTCCGGCAGGGGTGCAATCGGGAGGGCCTGAGTTCAGTCCCACTTCCTCCCTTATCAGCTGTGGGGACAACTAACTCATCTGACCTCTGTGATCAGCTTCCTGTTCTGTGGAATGGACGTGTTAACTTTCCCACTCCTCCCCTCGAGAGTGTTGTGGCTGGTGTAGGGCCCAGCCCAGAGTCACCTAGGAAACTTTTTTTTTTTTTGTATTTAGTACAGGGTCTACAGTGTCTCACTACACATACCAGACTCATAGTGATTCTTCTGTTTTCAGCCTCCAAGTGCTGGGATTACAGGCACATGTCACCATACCCAGTCTCAATCACCATCTCAGTGCACCCCAGGGGTAGGGCTAGCACAGCATGCCAGGGATCAAACCCCAGTCCCTTTGTCTGCCTAAGCAGACGCTTTAATCCACTGAGCTATCTGGCCAGCCCTTTGCAAACCTTATTTATAAGGTACTATCAGAAAATATATCTTAGGGGCTGGGGAGATAGCTCAGTAGAATAAGTGTTTGCGTGGCAAGTGCAAGGGCCTGAGTTCAATCCCCAGTTCCACCGAAAGAAAGAGAGAGAGAGAGAGAGAGAGAGAGAGAGAGAGAGAGAGAGAGAGAGAGAATATATCTTAGTTCTTAGATGCTCAAGCTGGGCTCCAGCAGACCTGAGGCCCAAATCCCACTTTACTACCTAATATGTGCACTGCAGGGGAGGTTCATCAGCTTCCCTGAGGCTCCATTGCTTCATTTTTGCTGCAGCAGGAATTAGCAGCCCTGTAGCTGCCAAAGTAGTCCCAGGATTGAGACGAGGCACTGTGTACGCTCCCACCTGGCTCCTGCCCTGCCTCCATTCAGGGCACTCAGCTGGGCAAAAGCAATGTCCATCAAAAGAATTTCTTTCTGAAGCTCATGGAGGCGAAGATCTGCTCCAGACTCCTTCGATCCTTCCTCTCGCTTCTTAGAACAGCCTGCTGAAGAAGGGGCCATCAGGAGCACCCATTTCACTGGAACAGAGGCAGAGAGAGGTGAAGGCCCCCCATCCAGTAAGGGATAGAGTTGGATTCAAAGCTTTAGAGTCTTTGGTGACTCTGCCTAGGTAGCCCTGGACTGTGACCTCTCCAGAGAGCCCACCCAGCAGTGACCACTGAGGAAGGCCTGGGCCGTCACGCTCTGCCTGGACAGAAGCAGCTCCCTGCAGCTTATTTGTAGCCGAGTCCCAGCAGTGGCTAGGGCTTGGGAGGGCTGCCACTTCCCTGGGCAGGGCAGTCAGGCTTTCCGTGAGGCACCTCCTCTGTCCGCAGTGGCTTCCTTATGGAGGCTTGGAGGCCAGAGCTCAGAGCATGAGGGCCCAGGCATGAAGGCCTCAGTGATCACATCGTGGGCTGCTGGAAGGGAGCTCAAGGGAGACTGCTAGGAGAGAGGCCGATGAGCAAGCGCACACCAGGGCTAGGTCTGTTCCTCATTCTGCCATTTCGTTATTGTGTGTTTCTGGATAGCTTCTTCCCCCCTCTGTACCTCAGTTTCCTCATCTGTAAAAGGCAGATGATATGAGTATTATGTCCTTCCCAAGACTGCTGTGAGAACTGAACTGGTGTATGTGCTCCACTCAGTGAACACTGCCTCAGGATGTGCTATTATTTTTTTTATTTTTATCCCTCCAGTTACTCCTCGGAGAGGGGTTCAGGAAGTCCTTTTTTCTCCCAGACTCCTGTTTCCTGACAGTGAGAATAATGGCACCTGCACCTCATTCTTCCCAGCCCACTGCCGTGAGGCTAAAGGAGCCATCTGGTAGGGAAGCAGCTCCTGGGCTGCGGAATTCCGTGCAAATGGAAGGGAGTGCTGTTGTCACCACTGTTAGTAATAACTGTAATTATTATGGAAATTAGTCGGTAGACCCCAGCAACACCTCTGTCTTATCCGCTCTCCTGTGTCTTAGGAGTGGGGGCCTAGAGACCGAGCCCCAGGTGGGCTCTTAGCCTGGCATCTGCAGAGGAGAGCTGTACTGGGAAGCAGGGGTCGCGTGGCAGCAGAGGCTGTGGTACAGGAGTGAGCCAAGCTGAGTCCGTCCTGCCTACACCATCTCCAGTTGCCTGAGAACTTTGAGAGCCATTTTTTAGAAGAGAAATGTGATAAGAAAACTCACCAACTACTAGAGCTCCTGAGCTGACCCTCAGCTGGGGAGAGGAGGGAGCCTCATTTACCGCCTCTGTAGCAGAACACTGTTTGGGGCGGCCCAGTATCCATAAGGCCACGAGCCCGATAGGACATGCAGGAGACCTTGTTAAACCCAATTCCCTACAATTGATGAGCCTATTAATCCTAGCTTGATGCCATTTTTAATAACATCATAACCATTTATTAGTGTCGTCAGATAATTAGTCTTCTCACTAGCTCATAGAAAGCGAGGTAAAGACTTGGTAATATTATTACTTCCTTATTAGGGATCCGCACATAAGTGTAAAAATGATGAATACCCACCTTTGTCAGTATTTGCCCCCCGAGCCCCATTTAGAGGCCCTGGGTGGCACCTCCGACCAGTAGGACTTAAAACGCCCTTCCTTGACACCTTGCTGGCCTCTGTCCCATGCCACGTGGCCTCCCACGGAGCCAGGTCGTGGAAGAAGATGGAGCACCTGGAGGGGTGTCTCCTTCCTGCTGACACCCTCACCTTCCTGAGTGACCTTGAACTACAGGCCCCCCAGACACAATTGGTCAGGCAGAGATGCCACCCCCATCGCCTTTCCATGCCCACTTGTTTACCGGTTCTCAATTTCCTCCCTCAAACACTGTCTGCTCCTTTCTGTGCCTGATCTCTCCCTCATGGCATCTGATAGAAACGGATTGGAAGCCCAGGCCTAGCACAGGAGTGACAGTGGGAAAGTTACCCAACCCCTCTCTGGCCTCTATTTCCACATCTGTAAAGTGGGGATAATAGAGGCATTTTCCTGCTCAAGGTTTATGGGAAGATTTCATGAGAGAAAGTGTTAAAAATGTATCAGAAGGGCTGGTGCTCAGAAAGTACTCAACACAGCAGCTGTCTTGCTCGGTACCATTCCCTCCAGGGGCAGCTCCTGGTCTACTGTGTGTCTGAGTTTCTCCTGGCAGGGAGAGGGGTGATTTACCAGGCACACACATCCTGCTAATCCAGACATAGACTAGGACAGTGGTGGCGAGCCTATGGCATGCGTGCCACAGGGGGCATTCAGAGCCCTCTGTCGGCAGGTGAGCCAAGTTGCTTAACAGCTAAGCATCAGATATGCAGGTTTAATTACAGGGTTGGCCCTTAGGGATAAATACATGGGGTTTAGGGTACAATTTGGGCTCTCAGCCTCTAAAAGCCTTGCCGTCATTGGTCTAGACCTAGAGGTCCGTATCTAGATCTTATCTTGCTAAATCCAAATAGGTAACCTTGGAGAATGGACTCACATTGACCAAACTCACAGGGAACTGAGGCCCATACCACAGTACCACCTGGTACTTTACTTGGGGTACTGGCCTTTTTTGGATAGTGGAATCACCCTCCTGCCATCCAGAACTTGTATGTCCTGGCACCAGGTGCCCAGAAGCCTGCTTGGGGAAGGCAAAGCCCCAGGGCGTAGATCCCAAAGCCAAGAGGCAGGTAGCTGCTAGAGAAAGAAGCAGGAGATGAGCCTTGAAGTCTTGGGTGATAGAATGAATTATTTTATTATTTTAATCCTGAAGCTACAGGACACAACTAGAGAATGGGGAGCCAAGGAATGGCATCAGCTTGGCGGTGGAGGAAGATCCTCTGCTCCTAAACCAAACAGCAACAGTTGGGGGCTGGGACCTGGGGATGGGGATGGGAGACTGGCTCAGAGCATCATGGTGGAAAGAGAGAGATTGAGACACTTTAAAAGGACATCAAGGCAGGGCTGACATTGACGAAACTGATGATTGGTGGATGGGAGAGTAGGGGAAGGGAGGGGTCAAGGACAATGCGTGAGCTCCAGCCTGGGTGGCTGGAGAGGTGAGAGTGCCGTCCCCAGATCAGAAGCCCTCTAGAAGAAGTCAAAGATCGCGGCAAGGTCCTAAGATCACTTGGGGCATATTGGGATCCAGGACCCCGTAGGAGCTGGCCAGGTGCTGAAACCTCAGAGCAGATGGCAAGGTGGTGGCTGAGATTTGGGGATCATTAGCACAGCCTATGGGGAGCACAGGAGGTGGGGACAGGAACTGCGCTCAGGGAGAGAGGATGAGGACTCAGGGTAGGACGGGAATAGCACAAAGAAGAAGAATCTGCCAGATACTTGGTCTGGCAAGGCTGGGGAGGGAGGAGAGGGAGAACCAGCAGAGTGGGGGCACAGGGGTCAGAAAGACACAAGAGGACTATGGGAGAACTCAGGTCACAAGTGCAATGGAGAGAAAAGAAAGAACCACAAATTTCCCCAGGGTGGAAAGTCAGCCCTAGCATAGGTCCCTGAGTGTCCTGACCTGGCCTCCTGCAGATCTGTTCTGAGACCCAGGACCATGATAAGGATGCAGGTATGACTGAGGCAGAAACAGCCCTTACCCTTCCAGATCAAACAAGTGAATTCCATTGAACTTTGGTTGGTGCCACAAAGGGGAAGACAGAAGCTTTTAGAAAGTAAAACAGAAAGATAATGACTCAGAGGAGTCATTTTACCTGGTGAGGTAGGCTGCGCAGTGTAGTGTAGGGCACCTCCCTGGGTGGACACTGAGGTTGCCGAAATCTCCCTCCACCCCTGGCAGGGCCTGGCCAAGAAAGGGGGCACCACGGAGGCCTGCAGCGTTGGCAGCACTGTGCTCCGGCAGACACTATCCTGTGGCCACCCAGGAATGGAGAAGGGAATCCTTCAGTGGTGCCAGTGGGGGTGTGGTGCGTCCCC